CACTTTAAGGAAATTATCTAAAGGTCAATGAAACAAACTAACCAAATAAAATCAATTTTTGTTTCAGGATCTGCGACTTCTGAGGCTGGAACATCGTAAACTTTTTGATTTTTAGGAAACAATTATAGAACTGTCTGCTATGTGAAACCAGCTAAGTCAACAACAAAGAAAGCATCATTGGAAAATGGATAACTGTGATATCTAGAAATGTGAGACTTGCTATGAATTGTCATGTACATGTACGTTACAAAATTCAACACAAGTTGAAATGTAAAGACTGTGCAAACTATGAATTACGTGCTTATATTTCTAGCCCTGTGCAAACATATGTATATACTCGTAATATAATGCATTGTTGTATATGTGGGCTGACAAAGTGCAGTACAGTAAAGGGGAAAAAGTTTGTCGAAATATTATTGCTGTAATTTAATAAAAAAAGTTGCTCACCAAAAATTTGTAAAGTAGTTTGAGTAGTAAAGAATTTCATGAATTATTTTCTAATTATACATAATTTTAAGTTATTTACAACAGTATGTGCTAGTTTTGAAATATTTTCTCTCCCATAATTTAGAAATTACTGAGTGCAATGCATGTGAAGGAAGTATCAGAAACTCTTAACTGTAATGCTATTTCTAGGATTAAGCTCTCTGATTGACTCATGTCTAAATGGGGATTTCTGAAGCCATAATAGCACAAGTTGCAGTGTATTACTACCATTATCACTAAAGTGCGACCCTCAGGCAGCACCTCAGTTATTTTAAGACCCTGAGTGTTGGTCCGGCCGAGGCTTGAACCACGACCTTCCGCACAACAGACCGACGCTCTTACAAACTGAGCTAACCAGGTGGCGGTAATGCAACTTAATAAATTAGTCATAATACTTCCTATACTCACTGTATCTCTACTCCTTGAATTTATCTCTTTTTCTTCTTATTTAGTTGTACTGCAATCAGTATTACATTTGTGGACCTAGATATCAAACAAAACTCAGGGTTTCTCATTACCAATGTCACGTTTGATCATCTTCTTCTTCTTCTTCTTCCTCCTCTTCTATGTCTTGGTCCCTTTTATACAAAAAAAAATTAGAAATTGAAATGGATGTTGAGTGCGATGGAGTGMATACCATACGTGTATTTCCATGAAAAAATCGCAATGTGCACTTTGCAATAGACTGCCGTCAATCAAACAAGCTGACGTAATTTACACCCGTTTGGATCGACCCGGATAGGCACAGTTAATGTGACTCATAATACTTGTAAACAATCGACAAGTTTTGGCGCCTTTTGAATCACGCACGGTTGTAAATGACGTCAACGTGTTTGATTGACGGCAGCCTATTGCAAAGTGCACGTCGCTATTTTTGTCTGGGGTGGCTGTGTAGCAATGCAAATGCCGGTAACTAAAGATTGTACAAATTAGTGAAAAGTTGTGTAAGCCCGAGGTCTACTGAACTTACTAATTTGAGCAATTTCTTACAAAGTGTTTCACAGATATATGGTAAGCACTCTAGCATACTTATGCTTTATCTAAAGCATGAAAATTTGCACTGGTCAAGAAGTAAGGTTAGGAAAAGTAAATACACAGGAACACTAAAAACAAACATGGGCCAGCATTGGAACCAGGGGGTGGTGGTGAGAAAACATTGCGCACCTTTAGGGGTAGGGTTAGGAAATTTTGGACATGTCACTCCTTGAATGCATCAATCCTCCCTCTTCCCAGTGCTGGAAATATAACATTAAATTAAGATAATAGTTTTCCCACAGTCCTAAGCATTGTATAAATCATAGTTAATGTCTTTGCACACATTCATTCAACATGTTCAGTTTTGTGCATAATCCTGCAGTGACAGTTAACACTTTTGGACAGCAGCCATTTTTTTGGCTAACCCATATCTCATGTATATTAATGTACATTGTAGGCACTGAGAATATAGTGCTGTTACATAACTTTGGTAATTTTGTTTAAAAAACAAGGTAGGGGTGGGTAGGGAAAGTTTGAGCTTTTAACATACATTTGTTTAGTATCGTTAGGTTTTAGATTCTCTAGTGGCATTTGATTCAAAGCATTTGCATCATCTGTGTAACTGGAGTCTTCATTGTTACCTGAAGTCTGAATAGTTATGAATAAATAAGTCAACTAATTTAGGTATCGAGGGTGGTGCAGTGGCAGTGTACTCTCGACTCTGGGGTCTCTGGTTTGATTCCTGGTCTTAGCATCACAAGTGAGTAGAGTTTGTTTGGTCTCTCCTTTCAATCAAGAGTTTTTTGATTTTTCCCCCTCTGCAAAACCCAATATGCTTAATTCCAATTCAATCTGTGTGATATCCATGCCCTGACTTAGATCAGCCCAGAGGTTGTTTCAGGGTTTGATCTGTG